AAATATATTTTCTTGAATTATGAATAACACGAATGGATTGAAATATTTAATTAAATTATCTCAAAATAAACCTTCATTTCGGTGCAATACTGAAATTAGCTTGAATTCTTCATAACCTCTGAATAGTGGGTGATTCAACGGGTCACGGGTGGTCTAGTTAAACTTAAAAGTGAGAAGACTTTAATAGTTCAGGGGCTGGGAGTCGGAATACCTATTTACGTCTTACAGAAGCTTAGATAACAATTAGGTAAATGCTAAAAACTAAACTGAGTATAATTATTCAGCTTCATTGAATCCAACGCTGTTAAAAAGCGAAAAGTGCTTGAAAAGTAAAGTTATATTTTAAATATATTTACTTGAACAAATACAATACCCATTGTGTGATATTGGACAAAAAGCAAACAATGAATGCTTGAAATGTAAAGTTTTATTTTAAATATATTTACTTGAACAAATACAATACCCATTGTGTGATATTGGACAAATAGCATACGTACCATTTGACTTTCAAAAAAAAACTATTATTAAAGCAACTACGTTGAAGACACCAATTAATTTATATATTCTTGTTGTTTGAAACCTTTTGCCGTAAGTGGACTTCAGACTTGCGTCAGCGAACATTGAAACATGAAAGCCAAATTGGACTAATGTAAATTGAAATAAGATCAAGGTAAGAGTGACGTAGATTTCCATTTAATTTACTTTAAAGCTGTTTACTAACAGCAGAGATTGACGCAGCCTCCGTGCAACAGAAAAGTCTGTCTTTGAACATAATATTTGAACAGTTGAATCAAAACAGTTAACTGTTAATTTAGTATTCAGGTTTTAATGCATAATATCTTTAACAGGAAAAATAAAAACAGGACCAAAGTTATTTAATCTTGTTTGTGCTTTTAGTTTTAGAATATATTTCTTAAAAAGAAAACGAGTTAAAACCATACTAATATAAACTAGCGTTTCTATTTCAGAAAGAACACTCCCAAGAATATTTACTTTGACACTTTTTGTCATTACTAAATATTTTTTTAATTATGCCCAAAGCTACACAAGGGCTATCTGTGCTCTGCCCACCACCGGTATCGAAACCCGGTTTCTAGCGTTGTAAGTCCACAGACATACCGCTGTGCCACTGGGGGGGGGGGGCATTACTAAAGAATGTCGATTTAAAATTGTAAATGTCGTTGGGATTTCATGCTGATAAATGATTTAAGATAACGTTTAAATATTACAAGCAATGCATATATATGTATGTATACATTGATTTTATGATTGATATTCATGCATATTGATCATTGATATGATTTATATATCAAGTATATCAAATGCAATGATTGTTAGAAAGCTCGTTAACCCTTGTGTCAATACCTTATTTTGTCATTTTCAAAGCTCGCTTCTAGTGGAGCTAAGCTGTTGAATAATGAGTTGACACAATATTTTATTTGTTATCTTACTCTTTTTTTTAGATAACACCATAAATTCTAACTTGGATAAAAGCAACCTAACTACATAGATCAGAACTAAAGAAACTAAAGAACATTGCTAATTTAATATGCGTTTAATATACGTGATCCTAATAAAAACCTCACGAGGTTTACACAGCTTAGAAGATTTAGGTTTGTCCTGGATCCGTATACTATGATAACAATGCAAACTAATTATTATCAATATATATAATAAAGATAAATAATATAAATAGATATATTGAACATTTTAACTAATATTCTTAACAAAAATAGCAACTTAATAAGCGTCAATAACTGCCTATTAAAGTGTGTTCCACCTACTTACTTTATATGAACACCAAATCCTTCTAAACACCTGTCAGTATTTTACTTGCATCAGCAAAGTCTGGAGTAAAAATCTATGGTGTATAATTTTTTTATATGGAGACAACATTAACATTTTATGTTATTGTTTAGCTGGAACACTAATGAGTTGTTCATTCATGTATTAATCCATGCGCTTTTTTATGCGATACGAGAAAGAAACAGGAACAATATTTTGTCGTTGTTGCGAACTAGGAAGCGGAAAATCAGGGAACATTTCAACATCAGTTGTACAATGTTTTATATTAATTATATTAAGACATGCTGTATACATTTTTATGATTCTCCCTAAGCTAAACTTATCGAATCCAACGACATATTTACGGAGTTGTGTTAATAGACCCATAAAATCTCAAACGAATAAACAAAACAAAAAACGAAGCCTTAATTGAGTTCGTTAAATATTTTAAACTGATTATACTGATCCACTGGATTTAATGCACATTATCCCAGCAGGATAATGAGCTCTTGGCTCTGAATTTATTAATTGCTAAACTTAAAATTCTAGTGTAATTTTTACAACTTGTATTTTTCGTGGAACAGACGTAGAGACGATTTAAATTCTTCGTCATCAGGATTTTTTTACCACTCACATTTCATCCAGGTAGAATAAAAAGGTAATAGTAAAATTAGTGTTAATCTGTTATTAACGCCTCTTAAATTCTCTCTGAAAGGTCTGGCTCATAGTTGAAGCTGAAGAGCTTTCAAACTAACTCGGTTGTATCATTTGTTATACATTTTTTTGCTTGGTTTACAGACAAAATAGCATTAGAACGTTTGTCGCTGCACGAGGAAAATACATTTTTTATGTGACATATACATTTATATCTTTAGCAGTGTAATGAACACACACTCATTGATATACAAAGTCATATTTACCTATACCCGTCTTCACTAAGAAAACTTTTCATTTGTACAGAATTAAGAAAAATAGTTTTAGGTCACTTCGTCTAAGTAAGGAATATATAGAACTGACTTGACATAATTTGCATAATAACTGATAATAAGCAAATTATGAAAACAATACTATAAAAAAACAGAGGCAGGGTAAATAAAGAAAAATTATTTCATGTGCTATAACAATTTCTGTTCCAAACATAGTAAATTTCAGGGTAATTAGTGAATACATAAATCATTCTATAGGGTGGTACCTTATATAAAAAAATTGCAACGAGCTATTTTAGCTTAACGTGTAAACTAAACCTAACTCAGAAGTAAACTCAAACACAGCTAAAACAAGGCGTTGAAAGCGTGCAAGTATAATGTTAGCAATGTTTGTTTTGCAACATAATGGAGAGAAAGAAACACTATAGTAAGCTCGTACTGTCTTTCTCTCATTTAATTATTACATCAAACTGAACTCAGGTACATATATATATAAATACTTACTTGATACAATACCCGTATAAATAATTACCTCAAATGAAGTTATGTATACGTTCTAGTTTATTATTCTAAATATTTTCATTAGCTGGAAGTGCTCTATTAGCAAAAGTTTTAACTTAGCTGACGAAAACCTTATTTAATACCACTTTCTTCCACGAAGGTTTGAATTCTGGGAGAAGTAGGTGATGAAACACCACATAATAGGTATAATTTACAAACCTATTTTAGTGTCGCTTTAGTTTACAAACCCTGTTACTTAGAAACAAAAACACTAATATTTCATCTCATAAAATATATAATAGTGATAAATTTTATAGTGCCGGAATCCTGCCAGAATTTGTCAGACGTGTGATGCCATCATCAAGATAAAGATCTGATATTTGAAACCTTTTTTTTTTCGTGAGCTCATTTACTTAAAATAAAGAAAATATACGCAGCACTGATTATTTGAGACTACTTACATTAATACTAAATTTAATACCCATCTTTTTCCAAGAGAAGACGCTATCAACAACTTGAACTTTTATAATGCTTTGCACATTTCCGGTCTTGCCAACACAAATAACTAAAAAAAAAGCGATCTTTGATGTATATTATATAAATAGTAATCCTTTTAAAAATCTGTACGTTTTAAACACACGGCTTTATTGTTAAATGTTTTTTTCTCTAAGTGTTAATGCTATATAATAACGTGACATATGATTTAAAAAAACATTTCATCATCATAACACGCTGACACCCACCTGCCTCTTGAACCGAAATGGTCGAACGCTAGCTCCTATGGGAGAGTGACAGAGTGGTTGCTGGGCGGTCTTAGAGAACTCAAATAGTGATTACGGTGTTCTATGACACTCTGCGAGTTTGGTTGTGAAAGATAATTAGCTTTGGTTTAAATTGAATAATTTATCTTTTATGTACATATTATTCGTTTTTGACGTGTCGCTACTCAGTTACAATTTTAGGTACAGAAGTGGCGCTTCGGCAGCACTACCCCCCCCCCCCCCTTGTATAAATGAAGATCGCGGTGTCGAGTATGATGTATTTGCTTTTCTAATCATTGGGAACACTTTTGTAAGAATATCCTTGAGGCCATTATTGCGAGTAAGTCACTCCATCAAAGATAAGATACATTAACACATAATTTGTTTTCTTACAGTTACAGTCGTGAACAACAAACGAACTGCTGTCACAAAGCGAATGGATTTTTTAAACATTCAGCTATCTTTCTCTGCGTTGTAAGTCAAATGAGTTACAAGTTGAGGCTCTACATTCCAGAAGATAATGTATAAAACACGTCGACGGTAATTGTCCGAAGGTTAATTCTTAATTCTCACTGTCTTAGATTCAATTCAAAATTTCAACTAATGAAATAATTATGAGTAATTGCTGATCAATTTAATGGAATTATTATTTTACTTTTTTTAAATTATTAAGCGAAAAATATTTATTTATCCTTCAAGCGTCCTCTATACTTCAACAGTCAACGACGTTGATTTACTATTCTTGTATAAATAATCTGAATTAAATTACGAGCTTAACTCTATAGATTATTCTAAAAATTATGTATATATTAATTCATAAGAGAATGCAAATATGTGCCCAAATTTGAAGATATTATCGTGAATATTACAGAAATCATACGAAGAAATATTTTTCTCCTTCTCTGATCTTTTTTAGTTACATCGTCAGTGTTCGGTCTTGTCGGATTTTGTGTTCTGTATTAGGTCGATTCCTTCTCCACCAGCTGCTCAACGTGGAGTTTCCCGCGCTGTTTCTTCTTGGATTTTGAATCCTAGGCGCAAGTACAGAAAGCGTCGATAAGCGTCGTCTCTGTTCTTTATTAGTGAAGACCTGCAAAATTGTAAAGTTATGATGCAATAAGAAATGAGTTCGCATCAGTGGTAAACATTACAAAAACGAATACTCAATAAAATACGTAACTAAACGTAGCTATCTTTCTCTCTGTATTTATATGTATGTTTACTTGTATATCATAGATGCATTTAAACATCACTAACGTCATAAAGTTAAAACGTTAAAAACCATTAATTAAGAATGAATGAAAGCAATCTGATAGTGGAACAGCTTTACTTATTTTCAAAATAATATTTTTTTTTTCACATTATAGCACTACTTAAGAAGCTCAAAAATTAGAAATATGTACAGCTTCAAATACTTGTTTATATAAAACTAGTTATTAAATATTTTTTCGTATCAACAGACCTTAGTTTTTGCGCCACTTTACATACAGGTTAACTAAAACACCCACCTACATAACACACAACACTTTCACATGGATATGTCTTTTTATCGTTTTCATGACGTTGAGACATACCTTCAGTTGCTGTAAAATACACGTGGTTAGTTGCATACCTACAACTGCTGTAAACACACATGGTTAGTTGTATACCTATAGCCTCTGCAGAATACACGTGATTAGTTGGATAACTACAACTGCTGTAAAATACACGTGGTTAGTTGCATACCTACATCTGCTGTAAAATACACGTGGTTAGTTGCATACCTACAACTGCTGTAAAATACACGTGATTAGTTGCATACCTACAACTGCTGTAAAATACACATGGTTAGTTGTATACCTATAGCCTCTGCAGAATACACTTGATTAGTTGCATACCTACAACTGCTGTAAAATACACGTGGTTAGTTGCATACCTACAACTGCTGTAAATACACATGGTTAGTTGTATACATATAGCCTCTGCAGAATACACTTGATTAGTTGCATACCTACAACTGCTGTAAAATAAACTTGGTTAGTTGCATACCTATAGCCTCTGCAGAATACACGTGATTAGTACCTACAGCTATTTCAGAATACATATTGTTAGTTGCATACATATAGCTATTTCAGAATACAAGTGGTCAGTTGCATACCTACAGTTACTTCAGAATATAAATAGTAAGCTGTATACCTATAGCTCATGCAGAATACAAGTGGTTAGTTGCATGGTAAAGTGAAAACTTTATTAAAGACTGGCCTCTTTGGTAAAAATGAATCAACTTAAAAACATGCGAACTAAATAACAAAATTAAATCATGTATCTGTCGAAACTTTCGTACTAATCATCGTTATGATGATGAAAACTCGGTTAACATCAACTTGTGATAGATAATATTCTTATCTTGTTAGCTAACCCACTCCAGTCGATAACACTCCTGTCTCCAGTTCTAAGAATCCCGGGTTTGAAACCTATTATCAGTGCTTTTAGGAACTACGTTAGATAAATAACAAAATACATATACAACTAGATGTACTTGGCCAACGTCCCTGAAAATGCTATGTTCCAAGAGTAAATAAAAGCAAAATTAAGAGTAACAAACATTTTGATTTCTTGTTTTTGAAGTTCATATATCATGTTGTGTTGTAGCCTACAGAGTGCATAATTCTTCTAGTGATTTATGGCATGCGCACGTTTCACTGACGTCACGACAATACAAATTACAACGTTAAGCACCCCTTATGTAACGTCATTTTAGTGTCTACTGATCGACTGACTGACAAACACCACGCTACTGTATAATGGTGCGAGTGATTAAATAATATATAAAAAGCATTAGCTGTTTTGTTTTGCAAGCTCAGGGAGCATTACACCGTGTTATCTTGCTTCAATACTGTTTGTCAAGGTACGATTGTGGAATACTGCTCCAAATGTTCTATATTATTCCCATCAATTTAGCACACATATTATCATTCCATTACATTTCCTTTGTGCCTGGACTCAATGCCTTGTTGGAAAATGAATCACCACATCAATTTTGTGTACATCACCAACACCGTTGACTGAGATGCAGCTCCAAACTTCTAATAACCCACCAGAATGCTTTTTTGTAGTTGTTGTTCATTGATTATCATACCATTCTCCTCTCCGCCGTAGAACCGAACAAACTATCGTTCATCATTGCCAAAAAGAATCGATCTTGGATTAAGCTGTAGAGAGCACACGTCTCCAGCTTTGCTCGCTCAACTGTTTGTGGTGTGATTCTCAGTTGAACCTTTTGGTTTGGTTACCTCTTCTCTCAGCAGTAAGTTTAAGGCCTTACAACGCTAAAATCCTGGTTCGATTCTCTGCGGTGGATAGCCCATTGTGAAACTTTGTGCTAAAACAAACAAACAAATCAAGAAACAAATACTTCTTTTCAGTAGTTTTGTTTTGTTTTAGAATTTCGCGCAAAGCTACACGAGGGCTATCTGCGCTAGCCGTCCCTAATTTAGCAGTGTCACACCAGAGGGAAGGCAGCTAGTCATCACCACCCACCGCCAACTCTTGGGCTACTCTTTTACCAACGAATAGTGGGATTGACCGTCACATTATAACGCCCCCACGGCTGAAAGGGCGAGCATGTTTAGTGTGACAGGGATTCGAACCCGCGACCCTCAGATTGCGAGTCGAGTGTCTTAACCACCTGGCCATGCCGGGCCAACTTTTCAGTAGTAGATGTATGTCTTACTGTTTTCGATGTAACGTTCATATTTGTATTTACAGACTGGTTGTCGAAAAAATCTGTATTCGACTGTCGTCTATCTCGTAAAGAAGTACTTGAAATATTTAACATAATTTTTTCGAGAGTTTCGGTTCTTTACCTCGACCACTTTATAGTCGCCATGTTTTGTTAGTTAACCAATTACACGCAAATACTAACGCGAATGCGATCCTTTTAGCACATGAAAATGACATGTGTCAGATCACAGTCACGTGATGTTCGTAATTAATAGCCAAAAATTAGGAACATAGGAGAGTAACGTTACATCTTATAATAACTATATTCTAGTATACCTGGTACAAAATCTCTTGAAATGCTGATTCCACATTTTGAGTTTCCCGAGCAGCAGAACATTCATAGAATGTACATCTTGGGTAGAGAAGAGTCACTCTCTGGCTTTCCTTGGAGCATACCACTCTGAAACACCAAATAAGAAACACCGTTTAAAATTATCCAGAGTCATTTGGTGGCCTTCCTGAGAGCATACTACTCTGAAACACCAAATAAGAAACTCTTTAAAATTATCCAGAGTCATTCGGTGGCCTTCCTGAGAGCATACTACTCTGAAACACCAAATAAGAAACTTTAAAATTATCCAGAGTCATTCGTTGGCCTTCCTGAGAGCATACCACTCTGAAACACCAAATAAGAAACTTTAAAATTATCCAGAGTCATTCGTTGGCCTTCCTGAGAGCATACCACTCTGAAACACCAAATGAGAAACTCTTTAAAATTATCCAGAGTCATTCGTTGGCTTTCCTTAGAGCACATTATTCCTAAAAATACCCAATAAAAACATCGTTTAAAGTTATCCATCAAATAAAGGAATGATGTTGTTTTGTTATGAAATCCAATGCTGCTCAAAAGAAACCAGATAATTTAAGCAGTAAAATCTTGAATAGAAGAGTAAATTAGTGCAGATTTTTGTTCTTAACATTTTCCCCCATAACAATGCATAAACTGTGTTACGTTAAGAATCATTATTTCAAAGAGTTTGTGTATTTGTTGTATTTCACGCAAAGCTACTCGAGAGCTATCTGCACTGGCCGTCTCTGAATTTAAAATGATAGATTAGGTGAAAAGTAGCTAGTCAACACTACTCATCGCCAACTCGTGGGTTACTCTAATTGAATAGTTGACCTTCATTTTTATAACATACTTACGACTCCAAAGTACAAAGCGCGATTTTATTTATTGAGATAAGGAGACTAAAAAGAGCTAACCCTGGAACTTCAAATCCATAGTTAGGCAATTAATCATTGAGCCACGTTTGGCTTAAACGAGTTTGGACTCAGTCTTTTAACCTTTGATACTATGATATCGTTAATCTCGCTGTAGTGTTGATGATACCATAAATATTAAGGGTATGACAACTTTTTATTTTTTAGCAAGTAGTTTTCTGCAATCGTTTTTTTTTAATGTTAATGGTATTTTAATAGTCAATGGTATAACAACTTTCATGTTTAGTAAAAGTTTATTCTTTTATCCTTTCTAGTATTATTGATATTAGTATGATGTCAGACGCATTTGAAGAAAACAATTCAAGATGGTGACGTCTTTAGTGACGTCATCCTCAACCAGGTAACTAGTTACTGGGAAAGAACAGAAGATTTTTTCTGTTTTCCAGATATTCATCACAAGACATTAATTGAAAGCTTCTTCGTAACTTATTGATTCTAAATACACATATTTACATGTTTATTCGGGCAATATGGCGTTTGAAAATTTGATCTCTGGTTGGTCTTCGATATTATCTGAAACTTTTGGACTATTAAATACCCTTAAACAACCATAATTTTTCCACAGCAGTTTACTTACAAAATGTATGTAGGTCCTAATTCATTGATAATAATAGAGGTCTGTGCAAAGGGAACCTATCAGTGAAAAAAACAACAACACATATTTAAGTATCGAATTATATTATCCACATGTTTCACATATGTGTCTATATAAGATATTGTAATCCATGGAAATGAAAAAAGGTTTAAATGTTATGAATCTTACACGTACGAGTATATATATATAAGTTCTATCTTATACTGATATGGATCAATATATTTATATATATGTGTATGTGTGTGTTATCAAGGATCAGAACGTAGGAAAATATATGATAAATTCCTTCAGAAGTCCATTATTGGCTTGGGCTGCATTGGAAAAATATTTATATTATGTAACTGTACGTTTTTACAGTTACAGCTTGTTTTTTAACGTGACAGTTTTAGAGGACTATGGTAGGAAACTGGTAACCATGTTTCAGTGATTGACAAAGTTCAGTCTCAGAGTTGGTACTAGGTAAAAAAGAAATTATGCAGTGAACATAATTACTTTATATCAAAATCAAACTTGGCTCACAGTGTTTACAAGGACAGAAAAAGGAAAGACATGACAAAAGAAAAGAAAAATAGGAAAAAATATAAGTGGAGACAAACGCCAATTAGCTTCCGTAATTGTAATATGCTATTCACATAAGACGTGGTTCATTAGAATAAGACCCAGTATGGCCAGGTGGTTAGGGCGCTCGACTCGCAATCTGCGGTCGCGGATTCTAATCCTCGTCCCGCCAAACATGCTCGCCCTTTCAGCCGTGGGGCGTTATAAGGTGAAGGTCAATCCCACTATTCGTTGAGTGGGTGATGACTAGCTACCTTCCCTCTTGTCTTACACTGTTAAATTAGGGACGGCTAACGCAGATAGCCCTCGTGTAGCTTTGCGCGGAATTCAAAAACAAACAAACATTAGAATGTTACTTATCGTTAATCGCCAAATTCATGCACAAAATGGGAAGTAGAAGAGTCTTCAGTGACATGACCAGAGCCTATAAAATGTGTAATCAGTTTCTTCCAGAGACCACCTAATGCCTGAGACAGGAGATCAGTTTGCTATAAAAATAGGTGTAGAACTTGCACTGGTGTTCTTACCAAATACTAACAAACTAATAAAGCTTCAACTATCTCATTTCATATGTTTCTTTATTATTTTCACAGAGACCTGGAATTATAACATTTCACGAGACACGACCAAGAATTAGATAAAACAGCATTGAAATTCCAAAGATGGGGAAACTACAAAGATTTCATCATTCTATTGTCACTGAAGAAATACGTTAATGTAATAGAATGACTCTATATTCATCCAGAGGAGCAGGCGTTCCAGCAGTTAGACTGTTGATCTCAGGATCCGGTTTGTGTCCTGTTACTCCCCCCCCCCCCCACCCACACACACGCAAATCGACTTCAGCATTTTTGAGCCGTGAATCCAAGGTTCTGTGGTTTATGTCCTGTTACTGCCCCCTCCAACAAAATTGAGATCAGCACTCTGGACCGTAGGTGCGTTATATAAGTGACGTTCAACTCACACTATTCTGTTTGACAAGAGTTGGCGGTCGGTGGTATTTATTATCTGCCTTCCATCTTGTATAGTGTTTATTTTTTGTTGAATTTCGCGCAAAGTTACTCCAGGATTATCTGCGCTACCCGTCTAAAATAGAGGAAAGGCAGCTAGTCAACATTACCCACCTCCAACTCTTGGGCTGCTCAATGTCACATTAAACACCAACACTGCTGAAAGAACTAACATGTTCGGTTATGGGATGCGAACCCTCGACCCGCAGATTGCGAGTCAAGCGCCTTAAGTACTAGATTATGCCAGGCCCTGAATTGTTTATCATTTGAAAATTAGGACGGGTAATGCACATAGCCCTCATGTAGCTTTGCACAAAATTCAACTTCCAAAGAAATAAATCCACATGAAGCCAATAACTGAAGTAATGAATTAAGTAGAAAAACCCATAAATGCTGCTTTCCAATCAGTAGATATTTACATTATTTACACTTTCTAAAAAATAAAACAACACCTTATATGATTTTATCCATTATTATAATACACGAGAAGCTTTAAAAGTGGCTTAACTAACTATACTAAAACCTACAATGACACATGAAATATCAAAACATTTTTCCTTTGCCTATAAAGACACGCCTTATTCTTTTACTAATATTATTTCATTGACAGAGTTACATGTCGTCGTAAAGACGAAGAACAAACTCCGTTTGAAATGTGCAATATGTTTAGGTCTCGCATCTTCTTCCCATTAAATAACAAATAACTGTTACAAATTCCACATCACAAAATGTTAATTTATGTTACAAAGTACACAGATTCTAAGCAAAATGGATGCAAACAGAAACATTTTATAACTTGTAAATCGCAGTTAATGTTGCGATATATTTTTCAAGATTTACGATTACATTCTTTTATCAATATATCATGCAGAGTTTTCATATCAAAGCAATCGGGATGAAGAAACAAACTCGTGACACCGTAGTAATAAGTGTCACACGTTCATCACTATATGGACTGCAAAAATATAATTGAAAAGTTTTTTGGTGTACAAAATTTGAAAATAACTTTTATATGCGGAAACATCTGTTAGCCCAAGTTCTTGCACAGATCTTAAAATATAACGTTGATAAACGGAAACATCGGCACATGTAGA